CGACCCCCTGATTATCCTTACCCATCTATAAGAGCAGCTCTCTCCACCTGGTAAAATTTATAGCATACTCCTTTAAAATCATATGCATTAGATAATCAGGATCATTACGTTAACTCCCTTAGAGCCGCTAACATATAACCTCTTTCCACCTGAGTGCCTGCTGGCATATCCACCATTGGTCATCTAATGGAATATTCCTCCATACGCTCATTTGCATAGCTACAACCTTCCCAAAATTGATTTTTACCAATATCTTCGACTAGGGTCCATCCTTGAAACCCTCATCAAAAATTGGATTCCTTCAGATATTTTAAATTACTTCAATTCTACTACATGTAACAGCAAAGGAACCTCATTTTTATATCAACTTCTCAACCACAGCACTTTTTCCAACAAAGCACCATCCATGCAAACATGGGAAACACATTTCTCACAAAAGTTCACAATGGCAAAAAGCATTTAGCTGCCTTTGACCTCCTCAAGCTGCATTACACACTGGGAATATTATGTAAAAATCTTACACAAATGGTACTAAACCCCTGTAAGACTTAAAAATCTTCTTGTCTACTTCCCCGAATTGTTGGAGAGACTGTGGCAATCCTGGCTCAGTCTTACATATCTGGTGGTCCTGCTCTCTGGCCTTCAAGTTCTGTAAAAGTGTATTCTCATTCTTATCAAGAGTTTCCCAGCACACTATAACCTGCAATTCAGGCATAGCATTACTTCTGCTACCTGAATCGAGGGTATCCTTGCAAACAGCATCTATAGTTTATGGAATTATAGCCACTAGGCGAGCCATAGCTTCGGCCCGGAAACAGCCAACATCCCCTGACTGATTACTCATCTTGCAACACCTTAATATATAAACCCAATTTAAACTAATGTTCCCAATTAATAAACAGCAAACGTGGCACCCTCTGAAAGCAACAGCATCTTTGGCTGAGACAACTGGGAATGAACAGCAGACATCTAAATTTCCTTTTACATACACCCTTACATACAAACTCTCGCCTTTCATAGGTGTCATGCAGAGGTTACAAAATAGCTACAGTGAAGGAAATAAGTATTTGATCCCCTGCTGATTTTGAATGTTTGCTTACTCACAAAGAAATGATTAGTCTAAAAATCGAATGGTATGTGTATTTTAACACAGACAGAATAGCAACAAAAAATCCAAAAGAAATGCATGTTTAACAAATTATGCACTGATTTACATGTTCATGAGGGAAATAAGTATTTGATCCGCTATCATTCTTCAGCAGGATTTCTTGCTACCAGGTCTCTTTCATACAGATAACAAGCTGAGATTAGAAGCAGTCTCTTAAAGGGAGTGCTGCTAATCTCATTTTGTTATACACACACACACACACACACACACACACACACACACACAAACAAAAATAAAAAAAAAAGACACACAGACGTCCACAGGAGCAAACAATCAGATTCCAAACTCTCCAAAAGACCAAAGAGCTGTCCAAGGATGTCAGGCACAAGATTGTAGACCTACACAAGGCTGGACCGGGCTACAAAACTATGGCCAAGCAGCTTGGTGAGAAGGTGACAACAGTTGGTGCAATCATTCATAAATTGGGCAGCACAGTGGCTAAATGGTTAGCACTTACGCCTGGCAGTACTAGGGTCGTTGGTTCAAATTCCAGCCACGGCGCCACCTGCCTGGAGTTTGCATATTCTCCCTGTGCCTGCGTGGGTTTCCTCCGGGTACTCTGGTTTTCCTCCCACACTCCAAAGACATGCTGGTAGGTTAATTGGCTCTTGTCTAAATTGGCCCTAGTATGTGTATGTACGAAAAAAAAAATATTCTGAACCAATGGACTGCAGACACGGTACAGGAGATGACCAGAGACTGCAGACACGGTACAGGAGATGACCAGAGACTGACACGGACAGGAGATGACAGGACTGCAGACACGGTACAGGAGATGACCAGAGACTGCAGACACGGTACAGGAGATGACCAGAGACTGCAGACACGGTACAGGAGATGACCAGAGACTGCGGACACGGTACAGGAGACGGACTACGGTGCAGGGAAAATACCAGGGACACAGTACAGATGACCAGAGACTGCAGACAGTGCAGGAATGACCAGAGACTGCAGGGGATGACCAGAGACTGCAGACAGTGCAGGGGATGACCAGAGACTGCAGACAGTGCTGACCAGAGACTGCAGACAGTGCAGGGGATGACCAGAGAGACTGCAGACAGTGCAGACCAGAGACTGCAGACAGTGCAGGGGATGACCAGAGACTGCAGACAGTGCAGGGGATGACCAGAGACTGCTGACCTTTGGGGAGGGAGGGGGAGCGGGTACCTGAATTTCAGGTACCCGCTCCCACTTTTGGAGTTGTCTTTCCCTCTTCTTCCCGCGCCGGCTTCTGTGACAGCCGGGTGCCCGCTGCGCTTTGTGAATGGCCCGGCGCCTTCTGGGACCTGTCATGTGTCCCAGAAAACACTGGACCATTCACGAAGCGCAGCGGGCACCCGACTGTCAAAGAAGCCAGCGCGGGAAGACTGTGCAGCGCTGGAGCGAGGAACAGGTAAGGCCCTGCAGGAGAGAAGAGCTGAGCGGCCGGCCCAGTATTCTGGCATGGTGGCGGCAGAAATACTGGACCGGCCGCTTTATATTCACTCCATAAGACGCACTGACATTTTCCCCCCTTTTTTGGGGGGAAAAAAGTGCGTCTTATGGAGCGAAAAGCACGGTATATAAAAAGCTGCGTAAATGGACGGCGCTATATAAGTACCTGAAAGAAATACATAAATGGAAGAAACACAAAAACAACTGTCAGTCTCCCTAGGTCTGGTGCACCATGCAAGATCTCACCTCGTGGAGTGTCAATGATCATGAGAACAGTGAGGAATCATCCCAGAACTACACACAATGATCTTGCCAATGATCTCCAGGTAGCTGGGACCACAGTCACCAAGAAAACAATTGGTATTACACTACGCCGCCAAGAATTGAAATCCTGCAGTGCCCGCAAGGTCCCTCTGCTCAAGAAAGCACATGTCCAGACCCATATGAAATTTGCCACTTAACATCTGTATGATGCATAGGACTGGTTGAAAGTGTTATGGTCAGATGAGACCAAAATCGAGCTCTTTGGCATCAACTCAACTCGCCGTGTTTGGAGGAAAGGAATGCTGCCTATGACCCCAAAAATACCATCCCAACTATCAAACATGGTGGTGGAAACATTCTGCTTCGGGGGTGTTTTTCTGCTAAGGGGAAAGGACAACTGTACCGCATCAAAGGGACGATGGACGGGGTAATGTACCATCAAATCTTGGGTGAGAACCTTCTTCCCTCAGCCAGGGCATTGAAAATGGGTTGTGGATGGGTGTTCCAGCAAGACAATAACCCAAAACACACGCCAAGGCAACAAAGGATTGGATCAAGAAGAAGCACATTAAGGTCCTTGAGTGGCCTAGCCAGTTTCCAGACCTTAATCCAATTGAAAATCTGTGGAGGGAGCTGAAAGTTCAAGTTGCCAAACGTCAGCCACCAAACTTTAATGACTTGGAGAAGATCTGCCAAGAGGAGTGGTCCAAAATCCCTCCTGAGATGTGTGCAAACCTGGTGGCCAACTATAGGAAATGTCTGACCTCTGATTGACAAGGGATTTGCCACCAAGTACCAAGTCATCTTTTGTGAAGGGGATCAAATACTTATTTCCCTCATGAACATGCAAATAAGTGCATAATTTGTTAGACATGCATTTCTTCTGACTTTTTTGTTGCTATTCTGTCTCTCAGTGTTACAATACACCTACCATTCGATTTTTAGACTGATCATTTCTCTGAGAGTGGGCAAACATTCAAAATCAGCAGGGGATCAAATACTTGTTTCTTTCACTGTATGTGGTTAGCACCTTACTAATAGTTACAAGATTAGACACAAATGTACCAAACTGCACTATAAAAAAAAAAAGAAAAAAAAAAAAAAGGTATGCGTTCTCATAGTTTAATTTGATTCTGCTAAACGGTTACTACCATAGGTCATGCTTAGCAGCATTGCATGACCCCATTTATTTTCTCATTGTATGTCTTTCCACGTCACTTGTGCATAAGCTTTGCATATTCTTTTCTTAGATAACGTCAATAAAAAAATTTTTTTTGAACAAAAAACAAAACCCTACAATGTTAGGGGGTTGCATGTAATTTTTTTTTTTTTTACTAGAAAAAGAGCTTGTTTTAACATGTCAAAATTGGTCTGGAAAGCAAGTGTATAGGTAAATAAGAATATCCTTCATACAAACTATATCGCATGCAATGTTTCCACGATAAGGCAGGTAACTTGTAGCAATCAAGATAGTATTCACATTTGAGTGCAAGCAATGACAAGTTATATCCAGAGACCCCTCCCACTTTTTGACATCTGCTATTATAAAACACTCTCCACTGTGTTTGCTCGAAAGGAGTTCTGCTCTATAGTTTTCCAATATGATAAAACAGTAATAGAGGTGTGTGCACATTGTTTATAAGCATTTGATGTGAATCCACAGATTTTAACCAGTCCTGACATATTTAGCAGAGCTCTGTGCTGTAAAAGCAGCATCCAGCTGTGCCACTGCAGAAACACATCCTCTTCATGGCGGTCAGTGAAATTTTAATAAAATTGAATGCTAAAATTCAGCTGTGTGTCTCAACAAAGACTCCTAGGATTTCAGACAGACATTCACCCTGAATCTAGCAGCAGCTGATGAAGAAAATGCCCTTAAGTCTTAAACTAGAAAAGCAAGCGAGACGCCAATCCTCCATAGGACAGCAAGTTAAACTGAGCACACTTGGTAAGGGAAATGTTATTGCCTATTGGGTCTGGCCCCTTTGATTATATTCACTAGTATCTGGTATGAAAACAATGAGAGGTGTGCCCCTAAGAAAAAAGATACTTTGCAAGTAAACCTTTTCAAATGATAACTAATTTTCCAAGATAGTTAACAGATGTAGTAAAAGCTATAGAACATAATACGTACTTTTTCTCATAGATCTCGGTAAATTTAAATAATGGCAAGCAGCAAGCTGGGGCATCTTGAAGGATGGAAATGGCTCCAAGGCTGTTTAAGATAGGGTTAAAAAAAAAAAATTAAAAAAAATGAATAAATATGAAGGCTATAAAACTATAGTCAAAAAAATCTTTTACTATAAAGTAAACATTGCAAACTTCTCATCAATGACACACCTCCCCTATTCAGTACTGCCCTCCAAGGAAAAGGCAACCAGGATCTTGGATCTGGTCATTGCTGCTTCCCCAACCACTGACATCTCTGCTGTTACATCTGATAGCTAGCTCTACTCTCAGGACAGCAGTAACAGCGGCAGTATACACTGCACGGTTCATGTGCCATATACAGACAGCTGGTGTCAGGAAAAAGGTTTGCTTATCCCTGCTTTAAAAGAGCAAAGACTACATTTTTAAATTACTTAGCAGACAAATTACTTACCTGAGTAAAGAGAGCGATTTATTGGCTGATCCTGTAGCCAGGGACACTTGGATCCTCTTGCTACCAATTTTGTATCTATGCAGACTGTTAACGGCACAGATTGCTTCCTGAAGGTTTTCCATCTGAACTGTAGCTTTCAGCTGATAATCTGTATGAGGACTGAGCTCAAGATGATTTATCTAGTCCAAACAAAATGGAGGGGAAAAAAAAAAAAAAGTTGAATGCCCAAATTTCTGTGACCCTAGGTTCACATCTTAGCGTTTGCCGCAGAGGTTTACAGAAAAGTCCATTTAACATAATTTCCTATGGGACATGTTCACATCTCCGCGTTTTCATCTGATGTGTTTTTTGGAAAGGGTCGGGGACTTTTTTGAACGCAAAAAGTTAAGTTCTTGGTTCTAGAGACTTTAAACATGACAGATGAACCAGGGCACACGCAAACTCTGCAGCACAATTTTCCAAACAGATTCTATCAAAATTTCAGCTGTTCCTCCTCGTCTAAAAACAAAAGTCCAAAAAAAAAAAAAAAAAAAACCCCACACCAGCACACATACCTTTCCATATCTGGAAAATATGTCTCGCAATGTCTGAAGAAGCTCCTTCCTAGATCTCCTATAATCTAGATTCCCAATGTGTACATCGGCACCATTTGCAAATGGATCAACAGGTGAATCTGTGGCATCAGTCTCATTTGAAGTTAGAGGTGAAGGATTGGAAATATTTGGGGACAAACTTCTTGAGAGAAGACACAAATGTAAAATAAAGACAAAAAAAAATAAAATACAAATAAGTATGTCAGGATCGATATCCCCCCTTTTTTAAAATCAATAAAATCAGTAGGTCTTACCTGGATGACCAGACAGATTGGCGAACAGGACTAAGTTGTCTAGTATCAGCAAGTTTACTGAAAGCAGATGGATTACTAATTTGAAAAGTTTCCTCCTTACTACTTTCCACGGAAATAGAAACGTTTCCATTGACAGAGTCTTCCCACCTAGGCGAGACAGAATAAAATACTGATTTGGTGGGACTCAAAGTTGACAAATCCTAAACCCCCCAAAAAAAAAAAAAAAAAAAAAAAAAAGGTAGTTTACATTGGATATATCCTCAAACTTGTTTTACAACACTCAGGAAGCAAACCTTTTGAAATGGATAGGTTTTTTTAGGCAGAGGTTTAGACAAAAATATAAAAGAAAAAATAAATCGCACACCAAAAACAAAGAAAAGCTAGTACTCTATAGAAATTAAAAAAGCGGAGGGGGCGTGGCCAGTGCGTGGGCAAGATGGATGCCTGACTGAGGACCTCCGCAGACTAGACCAGCGACTTTCGCATCCCACGGCACACTATTGGTACCAGCGAGGTCCAATCCTCCTCTTCACAGCAGCGGGATGTCTCAAGCGCAAGGAAGAGAGACACAACCTTTTTATTTCAGCCGATGGGCCGGAGCAGGCAAGATGGTGCCGTGGCCTCCACTGAACACTCTGCACCACTCAACTAACCAGCCTGCAGGAGAAGACGGCGACATGGACACATCAGGGGCAACCACTGGGTCTCCTTCACTCCTGGAACACCAGCCACGAGTACTCTAGCCAAGGCAAGGATGCGGATGGCCTACCCTTCTTAGGACAACCATAAGGTGAGCTGCCTATATCCATATCCTGAGGAACAGGGAACACAGCCGGACGCCATAGCATCCTTCCTCACCTCTAATAAGCTAGTCATGGACACCATCTTTAAAGACATCCTAAAACCAGGACCCTGCATTCACTATATCTCGTCTCCCACAGTACACAGAATATGGAAATGAAATTATTTTAGTAAATAAACTGCTAAATACATTTTCTCATCAATACTTAAAGCAGTCTTGTGACTTCTACCAGTGTTCAGCAGAGCACTATTTAAAGATTGTAAGAGGAGTTTTCTATTCTAGGAGGATGAAAACCCCCTGACCTTTGTCTCGCCAGCACTGATAGGCCCTGTGCCAATCACATGCACGCTTTCAAGAAAAAAAAAAAAAAAAAAAAAAACCTCTCCAGCAATACACACCATGCTGAGCACTGCAGAGTGTCTCCACTCCATATGTCTTATCAAGAGATAAGAGGGGGACACTAGAAGAAAGGGAAGATCAGAGAAGTCAGAACCAAACAGCCTTTTTACACAATGCAGAGGATTAACCCCTTAGGTTCCACAGTGAGTATCAAGTATGCTTTATTGCATATACAGACTGATTTTACTATTGTGGGTTTATTAACACTTTGTCTTGAACCACTTGCCTAACAGGCACTTAAACCCCTTTCCTGCCCAGACCCATTTTCAGCGCTGTCACACTTTGAATGACAATTACGCGGTCACGCAACACTGCACCCATATGAAATTTTCCAGACTCAGTGTCAAGGGATGTAATACTAAGAATCCATCACACAAAAAAGCAACTTATGCAAAAATCAAGGGCATTAGTTACCCATCCCGACTCCTATGCCCATCTACAGATATTCACAGATCTATCTCACATACGCTTCACCGCTGCAGGCAGCTCAATACCCTGACAAAGGGCATGCAAAATTTCAACTTCGCATATCAATGGTCTGCCCCTGCAAAAATAGCGTGTTATATACAATGGCACTAAGCACACTATCTTCTTTGCAAGTTGGTTTAAATCTACTACACACTTATGGTATCCTCACTTGAAGTTCCACATTCTTCACTTGCATTACAGTATATAACCAAACCATCTCAAGGCCCACATAGATCTAGACCCTGCCGCTGAAGCATCATGGTTTCTTCCAACTTGTACTTGCCTTGTCCAGTGGTCACTTGTCTCCGGTTCTTTGAACTTGTCCCCCCCCCCCCCCCCCCCCCCCCCCCCCCCCAAATCCCCAAATCCTCTTTCAAGGCACATGGAGTGCATTTTACTTGGGAAGGTCAAATTATGGCATCAGGCCTTAATGATTTTCTTCTTTTTGATACTCTTCAGGTTTACTACTTAGTTTTCCATTATCGCCAGTTTTCCTCTACACACTACTGCAGTTTTATTGAAACAAGTATCGCTGAACACGTTTAAATGCTCCCATAACAGTATCTTGTCAGCAACCAAGTGTGCCCTATGTAGCATTAGCTCCTTCCGACCGATTGTCCTCTGCCATCCTCCTTGTTCCGCTGCAACAGACTCATCAGCTGATAGTATGACTATCAAAATACTTTCAATAAATGCTAAAGGACTTAACCACCCAGTGAAGAGGTCTTCCCTATGGAAACTGGACATGGACTCACACCGATATTGTGTGCACAAGAAACACATTTTCATGCATCATTTCAACCATCCTGCTCAAACAAGAACTTTCCCCAAGTGTTTTTGGCAAACACCCAGATAAAAAGGGCGTTTTACTGGTGATTAAACATGAAAGGGTTAATAGTTAACTAACCTCTGCTTTAGGCTTACTAACTTTTGTTCCCATGAACAGGAGGTTCCCTAGAGTATGGAATGTTATATATGTAGGAGTCTCTAGGCCTCAAGAATTGTAGAAGTTACTATACTGTTTATTCCATCTTATAAAAACACACACCACATCATTGTTTATGGTAACATCTACAATGTAATCTGATTGTTGCTTCTGCATCTCAGACTTTTGTGTCTGACTTGCATTATTCCCAAAGTACTTTGTATTATCTGGAATGATTGGATGGAGAGAGCCAGCATAACACTCGAGTTCCTAACAAACTGGTGTCAGAAGTGGGATATTGAGTTTAACCATTTCAATACCATGCAATTTTACACCTTCCTGCCCAGGCCATTTTTCAGGTTTCAGCGCCCTCACACTTTGAATGACAATTGCGCGGTCATACAACACTGTACCCAAGTTAAAATTTTATCATTTTCTTCACACAACTAGAGCTTTCTTTTGGTGGTATTTAATCACCGCTGGTGTTTTTATTTTTTGCTAAATTAACAAAAAAAGACCAAACTTTTGAAAAAAAAAAAACACGTTTTGTTTTGTTTCTGTTATAAAAGTTTACAAAATAAATAATTCTTCTTCATAAATTTAGGCCGAGATGTATTCTGCTACATGTCTTTGGTGAAAATAACCCAAATTAGGATGTATTTTTTAGTTTGTAGGAAAGTTATAGAGTTCACAAACTATGGTATAGATCTGAATATTGATCAATCCTGAAGTACTGACAGCCAATCTAATTTCTTGAGGTCCAAGAATGTCAGAATAGTACAGATATCCCCAAATGACCCCTTTTTGCAGAGTAGACAGTCCGACGTACTTCATAAGAGGCATGGCGAGTTTTTTGAAGTTGTATTTTTTTGTCATAATTTTTCGGAAAATTAAAAAATTAAAAAAACTATTTTCACATTTTTTTTTTTTTTACATACTGTCAACAGTGCAGTACAGCGTCATCATATAACTGTCATGGCGGTGAACAGGGACACTAACTTTTTTTATTTTTTATTATAGTTCATTTTTTATTTTTTTTTTTTTTTTTTAAGATTTTTTTTTTATATTTTACTATGACCAAAGTAGTACAATGTTACCATAGTAACATTGTACTACTTTGGGGAAGTGATCAGTATTTTTTTTTTTTTTTTTTACACAAATTACTTTGCTATAAGCAAGCATTTAGCTGAATGAAATAGATTCATTCAGCTTTTTTTTTTTTTTTTTGTGCTTAGCTGTGATTTGGTCACAGCTAATCACATGACATGTGCATGTGATTAGCTGTGACCATTCACAGCTAGGCACTAGTATACAATGGATGGCATCATGAATGAAGCCATCCATTGTATACAACTGTCATGTGACCTGCTGTGATTGGTCACAGCAGGTCACATGGTACCAGCAACGGGAGCCGGTACTCGGATCTGTCATCGGCCGTGTCCGAGGTGCACGGCCGGTGACAGATCGCACTGCTGCGCCACTCTGCATTAGCGCAAACGGCGCATGTGCGGGAGCACGCCAAATGGCGTGCACCCGGAGTGCAGAGACTGTTTTGAAGCCGCCAAACAGCCATTGGCCGGGCGGCTAATGGTTAACAGTTGCAGATAAAGGAATATTAAGGCAGGTCAGACTTTTTTAGTGGAAAAAGACATGATATCCTGAAAGAATTGACAATGGAAAGAAGAAAGGATCATATTGACAGCTTTACTGTAGGAAAGGTTACATTCTGACACATTCATAATATTGTTGGCAAAACAATCCAGTTTGTAAATGTCTATAGCACTTTTTTATGGAATAATCCTGATTTAATTTATCATTTTCTATTTCAAGACATTGAAGGGTTATGGTGTACTGTGCTTGCTTACTAACAACCTATTATCTTAAAATAGGTTGAACCATAGGGTCCTTTTACATTTTGCCAGGAGAGCATTGATCAAATGTCTAGTAAGAAAGGAAAATAATTTCTAGATCCTTTTAAAGATAGATGTGTATTTCTTTTAAAGTTTAGAACGTACTTGAGTACATTTGTAAATGATAGCGAATTAATCTTCAAATTTTGTTCATTTTTGTCAGTGTATAAAAATCTTATGAGAACAGCACTTCAACCCTGAAAAGCTTAACTTTTTGTTCTGGAATTCCTCCTGAAAAATAGCATTTCACTTGGTATGTGAGAATGTCTGGGCACTCTTCTGCCTATGCCTCATACCTTTATACTATCTGCAGTGTCAAGAGGCAAGAGTGTGCTTCTGACTGCTAATTTCATGAAATTTGAGGCGAGATTTGGTGATGTCACTATTGTTTTGCTCAATGTTCTTGCTTGGAGGCTCTGACATAATGGTTCAAAACCATGCCTGTATCAAGATGGCCACCTCCACACAGACCATGCAAAACAAGGCATGGAAAGCCAGTAATAGGAAAAGAACAGCTGTAGGGAGACCACAACCAAAACGGATGATTAGTCCTTTGCCCTCTGCCTGCTTTGTGGACACAGCTTCCGGAGTTCAGTTCCTCTTCAAGTTAACATTTGAAATCATTACGCAAATAGTCAGCTGC